AAAAAAAAAAAAAAACTGTCACACATTGAAACTGGTATAGGCAGACCAATGAGCATATAAGGTGTCATCATGCTTAAAAAGTTAGGCCCTTCAATTGCCTTATGGTATTAACTTTCCTCCCTCCCATTGTATTATAATGTAGTGGAAGCAAATACTGTGGATACTTTACGAGATAGTGCAATTTATAAACCATGCAGCAACTACAGTTTAGGGGTTGTTTGAGGTGTCCTAAATAAGTGCACTTTTTGTCTTTTTGGACTAAAAAGTAGAGGAAAAAAATATAGATGTTTGGGTTAACTTTTTGATTTTTTATGAAAAAATGTGTATTAAAATATTGTATAAAATTGTAAAATTACCATATTATCGTCGCTGACACAAGCAGCTGGACTGTGCAGTGTCCTTGCTGTCCCTTTTCTTTCTTTTTTTTCTTTTTTTTTTATGGCATGTGTGGCTTAGAAGTGTGCCACGTCATCAAACCAATTGGGATGTGTGGCTGCACAGTGTTGTGCAGCGCCGTTTTGCACTTCTTTTCTTTTTTTCTTTTTTTTTTTAATTGACAGATTTCCCGCCAAAAAAGTGATAAATAGTATGGACTTTTTTGCTTTTTTAGTGACTTTTTGGCTTTTTAAATTTTTTGGATGATGCCAAACTTGGCCTTCAAGTTTTCATTTCCTGATAATTGGCCTTACATATTCTGTGGAGTAGTTCTTCAAACGGTATGGAAGGTGGGTAATGATGGAATTGAAGCTGGAGCCAATATGGTGCCTGTAAGTTCATCTTCTCTCTCTTCTGTTCAACTCATGTAAAGATCTGATTGCAGTCATAGTTAGTTCAAATCCAGTTTATATAATTCTTATTCACATTACAAAAAATTTATTTGTGTACTTTTCATTTGGGTGATAGGATTCTGTTCCAAGACCAATAGCAAGGATTTCTCTTACTGTAGTTGCTGTGGCCCTTGCACTTTTTGTTCTCAAATCGGTTTTGTCTACAGCTTTCTTTGTGCTGGTATGTTGTCAATATATTTCTTTATGTCTCTGTGATTCTCATGTAATTTCTTTTGTTTGTCAATTTTGATAGGAAAAAGAAAATTGGTTAAATTTCTCTTGATTAAGGGAGGGGCATATTGTCTTGTGTGTGATTGTGCTTTACTGGTTTCCAAGGAATTTCTCTAATGTGAAGAAGCAACTAGTGGAGAACAAGGAATGAGTATATTCGTGAATAGGTAGGAGTAGCACCGATAGAAGATAAGCTAAGAGAGAATAGATTGAGATGGTTTGGTCATATACAATGGAGACCAACAGAGGCAGTAGTAAAAAAATGTGATACAATGACAGTAGAGTGAAGTGTTGGGGGAAAGAGCAAACCTAAATTGACGTGGGTTAGTGTAGTAACTAGAAATATGAGTATCTTTAATTTGACTAACCAAATGGTCTTTAATATAGTTGAGTGGAGGATGAGGATTCATGTAGCCGATCCCATTTGATGGGACTTTATGCTTGATTTGATTTGAAGAAGTAACTAGTAGGAATTACTCTTACTGATGAATCAGAAATTTCTTTTGTTTGTGGTTTGTGGTTTGTGGACATGTGAATATCATGGAAGAAGATAGATGGGCACTAAAACTCCCTATAATGTCACATAGGTTACGTTTGGATCAAGAATTTGTGAAGTAAAAGGAAAAGGGAAGGGAACAGTGAATTTTTCCTTGCCTTCCACAAATCCCCACTCAGATCCTTAATCCAAACATAGCTGTAAGGTATGCAGTGTTATGGGCGTGGGGATGCCATTATGTGTCTCTATTGCCTGTCTACATAAAAAGGGTGCTAACTACGTCATTTGAGAGTCTTAATGTACTTATCTTACACGTGGAAAAAAAAAGGATTTGTCTATTGAGGACTTGAATTTTGTTTTTCCTTGCTAATGCCTTTTTAACTGGTGATGTTCCAAGATGGTCCGCTGAAGAATTTAGAAAATACCAATATTAGGTAAGAAAACACCATGTTTGTTAAACGTTTTCAATCGATCTTCAAATAGGCACAAGAAATCTGTGTCTTATGGTGTTAAAATGTAGCTAACTATATAGTCAACTTTAAAGGCAACCCACTGCATTAGTTGATTGCCTTCATTGTGCACGCATGTTAGATGTCTTTTATTTTATTTTTTTGCCAATAAGCATGATGTCAGTGTCTGTACATCATCGTTTTGAATGTCATAACTTCATGGGTTTTTTTTGTTTTTTTTTGAATTTTCTTTTTGTAACAGGCGGTGATGGGACTCATATATTTCACATTTATAGCCTTGAACAAGGACGATGGCCCAAAAGGGGGTGGAGGCACTACTACTACTACTACTGAGGAGGACAGTTTAGAAGAAGCGAGAAGAATAATGGAAAAGTACAAGTGAACAAGGCAGGAGTGACGGTTTGTTGAGAATATGAAAAACGTTAATGTCAACGTGACGGTTATGCTCTCCATAGTTACCTCTCCCTCTCTCTTGTACTTATAATTTTCCTGTGGTGTATAGGTTGTGGGTATGCATTGGTGGGACGATGATTTCTGTCATTACTTCAATTTCATATTAAAATTCCAAGCATATTCATTTTGACAACGTAATATCGATCAATATGCTTCAGGTGCCAAGAAATTTAGGGGGATTATAGTGATTGTGAATGTGTCTGCATATTGAAAGCAAAGCTGCATGACGAACACAAGTTTTCCCACTAATTCACATCAGAATACTGTGTTGTTTTTTCCCACTAATTACACATTTTCCATAAAAATAAATAAATAAATAAAAAGAAAAAAATGAGTTGCTCTAGTGGAGATTTTTGTTTTTTGTTTTTTTTATTTCGTTTGACAATTTTGTTATTTGTGTTTTTTTTTCTTCCTTTCATATTTTAGTTTTTCTTAGGTGTGCTTAAAAAGTAAATATTTATGAAAATTTTGACCAAAAAATTTGCTAAAGATATTAAAAAAAAAAATACGAAAATGTGTTGATTTTATATTTTAGTTTTCATTGATTTTTTTTTTTAAAAAAAAAAGATTTCTTCACCTTAAAAGTATTTGTTTTTTCATGCAAATGCAAAATGTTCACTAAAGATAAAAAATTATAAAAAATCGGAAAATAAAAAAATTCAAAAATAGTTTATAAGGTTGCAAACTTGAGTATGTTTCTCAAAAATGTCAAAATGAAATTTAAGAATAGTAAGACTTTCCTGGAAAAATATTCACCAATGAAAACTAAAGCCCAAAAGCACAGATTGTTTCTCTCTTTCTTTTACTACCAACTCTGTCCAGGGACATTAAATTTTTTTAAATTCTAGATGAAGAAGGGTAAGATGGGGCTATGAACGTGTGACATTTTTTTTTTTTTGGGCATCATGATATAAATTAGACCTTATGAGAATTGGACATGAGAGGCTTTGGGGGAATTTACACGTGCTCTTTTAAGATAATTAAACTATAATTTGATTAAATTTATTTATAAGACTTGAATTCATGACTTCATATTTACTAAACCACTTGAAAATATGTCTCTGACCATGATGCCACCACTCTTGGATGGTGTGTGATTATTGTCACTGGACATGTTCATGGTGAGAGTGACACCATGTACTTAAATTTGAATCTTTTGAATCTATTTTGCCTCCGTTTGGGAAGTGAGTTGACTTTTTGGCTATTTTAGCCTGGGGTTAAAAAGCCTGGTTTGGGAAGAGCTTTTTGACTTTTTGATTTTTTTGACTTTTTTTGTGAGAGAGAAGTGTAATGATTATAGGTTGAATTTGATGTTTTGTTTTTTGTGATTAAAATAGCCTATTTTGTTTTTTGTGGCTATTTTAGTCCCTAACCCATCAAAACCAACTTGCCAAAGGTGCTGTATGGTATTGTATGGATGTTTAAACTCTTGTAATCTTTATCTCTATCAATGAATTACTCTGTTTTTTGCCAAAAAAAAAAAAACAAAGAAAAAAAGAAGAGAGATCTTACCCCACTCTCCACTTGCAAATTTCAAAAAAATATGTCAAATTGGAATAGATTTTAAGATTTATTAAGATTTCCAAGTTAAGTTTTAACAATCTATTACTTAGCTCAATAAACCTATTTATATACTATAAAAACTTGAGCTGGCCTCGTGTCTAAATTGTTCACGATTGACTTGTTATGTAAACAGTCTAAAGATTAAACACGTTATAAGACTCATTAAATTTTTAAATCAAATTTGAACAACTTATTACTCAATTCAACTTATTTGCAATCTTAATTATTGTTAGTATTTTACCCTAGTATTCAAATTCTTCATCTTTGTTAGAGACTTTCTTTATAAATGTTTCTGCAGAATCCTGGTCCATCACATTACTAAAATGTCATTATACCAAAACAAAAATATTAGAAACGCTAACTAATATATCAACAAACATACCAACTAAACACTTTATTAAGTGGTCTTAATGACAAATGTCTTATATGATTGGGTCTAATTATGGTACAAAACTATAAATTTTAGGTTTTATATCCAAAAATATTGTTGAGTATGGTCATATTGAGTGACAAGTACAGTTATTTATAGTTGTAAGTAGATGATCACATTGTGTGGTAAAAGTGGTCAAATCGAGAGGTAAGTATGGTCATATTGTGTAGTAAGTAATTAGTTTCAGTAGTAAGTAAAGCTAGAAAATCGCTTCATTTTCTAAGAAAATCATCTTGTTTTGTGTATCCAATTTTACTTATTACCCATCAATGTCTAAATTTTTTCTTATTGAAATCCAACAATTAATAATGATTTTTAAGTTTGGTACCCAACAATCACTTTTTTATACTAAGATTCTTTAATTATAGATGAGTTTTGATTTGCAATTTGTGACATTACATGGTTCCTTTGTTTTTTTACAAGTCTACAAGTCATTGAGGTACCTTTTTCATTAGAATCATTACGATTTATTTTATATTTTATATTTTATAATTGGGTATCCAGATCAGCTTACATGCACCTCGACTAATCTTAGGGGGCAAATCCTACTGCTCACTTGTGATGTCCCGGAGTCCTTTTAAAGCAAATTGAGTATTTTAATTCAAAATTTCTATTTCTTTTGAACGTCATTGCTACTATTGAGCTTTATGAGTCTCGTATTGTTACCTATTCCTTTCCTGGTAGTCATTCATGTACATCCTAGTGTATTCCAAGGTGTTGTTTTCTTTTTTGGATGTTGGAGTGAGTTCAGGAATGATGGGAATGCATTTAGGTTGCTGTTGTCTCACTTCTATGTCGGGACTGCTCGAGCGATACTTTTGTCGCTCGAGCGGTAACGTCATCCTCCCAGTACTTTGTACTGCAGATTGAAATCCTAGGAGTGTGCAATCTTCGCTCGAGCGAAGATTTCATTGCTCGAGTGGTTTGTTTGAATTGTTCGCTCGAGCGGTATGTCCGTAGATAGTTTCGAAAAATATGTCCAAACACTTAACAGTTGAGCCTATACACATTTCTCTTTCACTTTTCACATCACACTCTCTCTGTACATTTCACTCTCTCTCTTTTCTCTCATCTCTCTCTAGAAAACCCTCCACCCACCATCAATTCGTTGGGTTTTTGACCCTTGTGCTTTCATTAATATTGAAGAGCTCATCAAGGGTTACGTTGTGTACGGTGGAGATTGGATTACAATGCCGTAGATTTTGAAGCTTTTCTCATCTTTTCTTCCAAAAACTTAAGGTAGGGAGTTTCTTTGAGTTATATAGATGCTTTTAGCATGTTTTGCCTATTTTGCTATGATTTTGGATAGAAGGTTTGAGGTTTGAAGTATTGGGTTTGGGAAGAAAAGATGAGAAGAACACTCCTAGGATTTTCTCATCTTTTGTGCTAAAAGCTTTTCTCATCTTTTCTTCCAAAATCTTTTCAAGTAAATATGATGGGAATTTTGTAGGGGTGTAGTTGAGAACTAAGTTGGCTTGAGTGTCCTTTGTGTAAGACCAAAAACACGTGCATGTGGATGCCTAAGCCCTCCGGTTAGAAGCCAGTATGATAGGATTTGGTAGTGCCTAATAAGTCTACTTGTAGATATTAGCCTTGGGGATTAGTCTAAGTCGTATTTACTACCCTGTTATATCATTGAATTTCATTGAGATATTAAACTTTTCGAAAGGAACATTGCATGAGTTTTCAAAAGATTGGAAAGCTTATGACATTGGAGTAGGACATGACATTTGCATTCATGTAATTAAGGCTACTTAAAAATATATATACTTTGTTAAGATATCTCTATTGGGTTTTGTACTCATCCCTCGTAGATTTTGTCTAGGAAAGGATGTAGTGATCCTTCCTAGTTAATGACCTATTTATATACTATAAAAACTTGAGCTGGCCTCGTGTCTAAATTGTTCACGATTGACTTGTTATGTAAACAGTCTAAAGATTAAACACGTTATAAGACTCATTAAATTTTTAAATCAAATTTGAACAACTTATTACTCAATTCAACTTATTTGCAATCTTAATTATTGTTAGTATTTTACCCTAGTATTCAAATTCTTCATCTTTGTTAGAGACTTTCTTTATAAATGTTTCTGCAGAATCCTGGTCCATCACATTACTAAAATGTCATTATACCAAAACAAAAATATTAGAAACGCTAACTAATATATCAACAAACATACCAACTAAACACTTTATTAAGTGGTCTTAATGACAAATGTCTTATATGATTGGGTCTAATTATGGTACAAAACTATAAATTTTAGGTTTTATATCCAAAAATATTGTTGAGTATGGTCATATTGAGTGACAAGTACAGTTATTTATAGTTGTAAGTAGATGATCACATTGTGTGGTAAAAGTGGTCAAATCGAGAGGTAAGTATGGTCATATTGTGTAGTAAGTAATTAGTTTCAGTAGTAAGTAAAGCTAGAAAATCGCTTCATTTTCTAAGAAAATCATCTTGTTTTGTGTATCCAATTTTACTTATTACCCATCAATGTCTAAATTTTTTCTTATTGAAATCCAACAATTAATAATGATTTTTAAGTTTGGTACCCAACAATCACTTTTTTATACTAAGATTCTTTAATTATAGATGAGTTTTGATTTGCAATTTGTGACATTACATGGTTCCTTTGTTTTTTTACAAGTCTACAAGTCATTGAGGTACCTTTTTCATTAGAATCATTACGATTTATTTTATATTTTATATTTTATAATTGGGTATCTAAATCAGCTTACATGCATCTCGACTAATCTTAGGAGGCAAATCCTACTGCTCACTTGTGATGTCCCGGAGTCCTTTTAAAGCAAATTGAGTATTTTAATTCAAAATTTCTATTTCTTTTGAACGTCATTGCTACTATTGAGCTTTATGAGTCTCGTATTGTTACCTATTCCTTTCCTGGTAGTCATTCATGTACATCCTAGTGTATTCCGAGGTGTTGTTTTCTTTTTTGGATGTTGGAGTGAGTTCAAGAATGATGGGAATGCATTTAGGTTGCTATTGTCTCACTTCTATGTCGGGACCGCTCGAGCGATACTTTTGTCGCTCGAGCGGTAACGTCATCCTCCCAGTACTTTGTACTACAGTTTGAAATCTTAGGAGTGTGCAATCTTCGCTCTAGCAAAGATTTCATTGCTCGTGTGGTTTGTTTGAATTGTTCGCTCGAGCAGTATATCTGTAGATAGTTTCGAAAAATATGTCCAAACACTTAACAGTTGAACCTATACACATTTCTCTTTCACTTTTCACATCACACTCTCTCTGTACATTTCACTCTCTCTTTTCTCTCATCTCTCTTTAGAAAACCCTCCACCCACCTCATCAAATCCTTGATCTTCATCAATTCGTTGGGTTTATGACCCTTGTGCTTTCATTAATATTGAAGAGCTCATCAAGGGTTACGTTGTGTATGGTGGAGATTGGATTACAATGCCGTAGATTTTGAAGCTTTTCTCATCTTTTCTTCCAAAAACTTAAGGTAGGGAGTTTCTTTGGGTAATATAGATACTTTTAGCATGTTTTGCCTATTTTGCTATGATTTTGGATAGAAGGTTTGAGGTTTGAAGTATTGGGTTTTGGAAAAATGTTGAAAAATGGTTCTTCTTATAATTTGGCTTGAAGTAAATTGTTTTGGTGAACTTATGAACCTTTTGGTAGTACATGGAGGAGGAATGTGCTGAAAATGAAGAAAAACACTCTTTTTGGTTAAATCCCAGGTTTTGGAAAATTGGGAATAAAAGGATTTTCTAAGATATTCAAGAAATTGTTGGAATTTTTTTTAAGAAAATAATGAAATTATTACATGTAATTGTGTTGATTGGGATAGATGAATGTTGTTATTGAGAAATCAAAGATAGCATGAATTTGTATATGCTTGGATTATGATATGAAAATGAAAAATGATTGTGAATATGAAATGGTGTCATATGTCACATGGATTTAGACTTTGGTTATGATTTTGAGAAATATTGGGATATTGTGCTTCACTTTGAATAAGTGTCGAGAATTGTAGAAATTACACGATGAGGATGTGTATATATATACATTTGAATCTCATTTCATAAACATGCATGGTTTTGAATATTGTTTCATGACGGCTATATTTTGAAAATTGAATTTATTGTTTTAAGAAAATAATGTTTGAATTTGGGATGTTTTGAAGTAAATATGATGGGAATTTTGTTGGGGTGTAGTTGAGAACTAAGTTGGCTTGAGTGTCCTTTGTGTAAGACCAAAAACACGTGCATGTGGATGCCTAAGCCCTCAGGTTAGAAGCCGGTATGATAGGATTTGGTAGTGCCTGATAAGCCTACTTGCAGATATTAGCCTTGGGAATTAGTCTAAGTCGTATTTACTACCCTGTTATATCATTGAATTTCATTGAGATATTAAACTTTTTGAAAAGAACATTGCATGAGTTTTCAAAAGATTGGAAAGCTTATGACATTGGAGTAGGACATGGCATTTGCATTCATGTAATTAAGGCTACTTAAAAATATATATACTTTATTAAGATATCTCTATTGGGTTTTGTACTCATCCCTTGTAGATTTTGTCTAGGAAAGGATGTAGTGATCCTTCCTAGTTAATGGGCGTTGGAATATTTTTGAGAGCAAAGCCTCTTTATCTTTTGTGATTACTTTTGACAAGCCAAGGGCTTAAATTGTATAGATTTGTTAACCATTTTTGTGTAATTAGGCTTAAGCGTCATTAAACTTATAGCCCCTGAGGCATTACTTTTGTTGATTATTTCTTGTTTAAAATAGTTGCACATGCTATGGATTTAACTTAGAAAAGATTGAATAAGTACTGCATGTGGACTCCTTTTGTAAATCTCTTTCATGAATGAAATACAACTATAGAGATTTCATTGATTGCATGGAGTAATTGGGGTAATCATGTCTTATATTTTGGGGGCATTACACCACTTGTGGGAGTTCCATTTAAAGTCAGAGCAAATGTTTTATATGGACTAGTCCCAAAGAACATTTTGGGGCTAGTAAATACTAAACCTGAGACCTAGAGGGTTCACACCCTCAGATCCCAAGTTGTACCCAGTAGGCCAACCACTTGCACAAATCATTACAAATTGAAGTTCAATATAGATCTTCCATCTCTTGACTGTAGTACACAAATCATTGGTGGGTTCATTCCTGTTCTTGAACATTGAAACTCATGGCTTCACATTATCTAAATCTTCATTTTGAAGTCCAAAAGTTTTGTAATGCAGATAGTGAGAGTTTTGAAACAAACAACGAAATGAAAGCAAACTTATGATCTCTCAGATTACATTAGAGTAATTTTATTACTTGTGACATGCGCGGGTGATTGGAATTGGTGGATCTGACAATGAACCATTGATTATGCGATTAGCAATCCAATAATTTGCAGCTTCGGTGTGGTGTATGCCATCCCAACTAATATAGGTTGAAGGATTCTCACAAGAACCGGCATACACTTCCTTGCCATTTATGTTTTCCTTTTTCCCACATTGGACATAAACACCATTCTCGTAAATCCCACAACATATCTTCATTGGGTCAGTGAACCCTGTCAAGAAAGATAAATTATAATTGGTCTTTGATGAGAATTCATAACTAATTTAATAGTTTGTTCGTTCATTTCTTTAAGATGATTATATATACCTTGGCTCTTAGCATTGCTGATCAAATCATACTCAGCGGTATAAACATCCACATAAGTTAGCACGGCATCTGCGAGTTGTGTCCTTAGTTTGATCACTTTGTCCTTAATCTGCTTGTTTAACTCCATAGCAATGTCATTCTGACTCTTGATACAACCATTCTGATCTAGAAAACCCAACTTTGAATTCTTAATAGACAATGTGCTATTTGGGAAGCAACCAATAGGGCGTGCATTTTGTATCCAAAATGTCCTCGCTCCCATTCTATACAAAGCCTGCCATATGCATGTTCACATGTTATGTCAATTCAAACAATGAGACGAGAGAAGAAAATTTCGTGTTTATATATAATTTGCAGTTTTGTCGATCTTATAATTTGAACTAATTACTTGGACATAATCAGTGACGTTTTGTGCCATAGTTGATAATGTTGTATTTTGAAATTGCTCAGTGCTTAGCTTCCGGAAACCAACAGAAAGATCAGTATGCCCGATATTAATCACGTAAAGAGCATTTGAGAAGTCCTTAGGATTTGGGAGTGTGCTTATATCGACCTTGCCTGAAATTTTTTTAAAAAAAAATACTTTTTCTTATGTTCATTAATCAAAATTCAACTCAGACAATGGAACATAGATAGTAATTGAATTGATCACCTTGGTTGTAGAGGTCAATAGTTCGGTTTTTGAACTGATCAAAATGATTGTTGATCTGAGTATTGACACTAAATGGGCTCACACCATGTTGCCAAAAGGTCTCCATCCAATTGACAAAGGTTGCCCCTATTGATGCAAAGTTGGCACCATGTTTGAAATCAGCTTCAACTGAATCCATGTATGCACTTAAATGAGGCAGTTTCAAGTGCTCAGCTGGATAAATAATTTACAAGATCAGCATTTTCTATCCAATAAATGACTAATCCTCATAGATATTCATCAATATTGGAAAGCAAAAGAAAGTTCATGGGTATACATATTTATGTTTGTACCTATGAAGTCAATGATGAGACGCCCATCAGAAACTCTTCCAACGGGCATTTTGAAGAAAGTCTGACCGTTGGGTGGTGGAATAGGATAAAAAGCAGCTGACAGAGTGCCTGTATCGGAATTTGAGTCGCCAAAATTGTAAATTGTCGAAAAATTGCATGGTTGAAAACTGGTGACATCCATAGCTGCAAAATTAGCACTCAAAACTATTGTTATTGATATCCCAAACACCAATCTATTGACAAACTCCATTTTTCCTTATACAAGAAAATTGTTAATGGTATGTTGAATAGGTAGATTGAGGCTTAAATAAAGACATTCTAACCTGTATGAATGGAAAATAAACAATTCTTGGGAATTTTGTATTGTCAGACAACCAATTCTTGTTTTTCACCATCTATTTTAAGCGAGTATTTGACGCTATTAATAACTTTTCAAAATCAAAGATGCCAAATTAAAAAAAAATTAAGTGAACTTTTTATTTTCTAAAAACTCCATTGCCGGCTAATCTATGAAATTTTATCCTTCAATACTTCTCTTGAAAAAAAAAAAAAAAAAATAAAATAAAAAAATTTGATTCTGATTTATTACCTTACATGATTTTTTATTTTAATTTTTTGACTAGGAGTGGGAGTACATGATTTTGCTTGAGGAAATGTTACCCTATACTACACTTCTTTATGATTACAAAGGTAAAATTCCATTGCATGCATTTGTATTCAATTGGTTTTCATGATTTATTCTTAACCAATGAAATCCCTATTAAATTTAATTTAAATAAGAAAAATAATTTAACCATAGAGGATCTCAATTTCTCAATTCATTACTGTATGAAGTAAAAAATTCATCATACAGTTGGATTTAAATTTTTTTAGTTGGATAAACTCATTATCCTGCATTTTCTAATAACATCCTTTTAATCAAATTATGCCCAAAATCTCAAAAGAAAAAAAAAATAAATTATATAAACACATTAAGTGTTCATTATAACTTTTTACATGTAACGTTGCTACACTAAGAAAATCATTTGAACTTTAGAAGGGATTCAATTTTTAATTAATTATTTTTTTGATCAACATCAACTTTTAATTAGTTAATTTACACATTTCACTTTTATAGTTTGACTCAAATTTTATTTTGGTTCTTATTGTTTTAATATGAACAATTTGATCTTTACATTTCAAGTTTGAGAAAAAATCATTTTGCCTCCCAAAATATTACACGAAAATCAATTTGGCATCCAGACATCATCTTAGTTTAATTTGACACCTAAACTTTTTAAAATTTAATTAATTTACATCCGTCATCTAATTCTGTCTACAATCAAACGTAATATGCTGACGTGACACCAAATTTTATTTAGAACTTCATTTCACCCTTCAAACTATAACTTAAAAATTAATTAGCCCCCCCAAATATTAAAAAAATAAATTTAAATATTTAATTAATAAATTTTTATCTAAAAAATGCAAAAATTAAATTTTAAATAAAAAAATTGAGTATTAGTCTTGTTGAGTATTCTTTAGACAGTAATTGCTAACTTTTTGTTAAATTCTCATTCAATCGATGATACGACCGAGTAGGTAATCTCGATTTTATAAGCAAATCTCAACATATTTATTTTAATCGATCAATATAAATTTTCAAATTTCAAAGAAGATGTTACTCTCAGAATAAGTATCATAAATTTTTACCCACTCAATTTTGAAATTACTATTAGTCGATCAATTCTATTGAAATTAATTTTGAGAATAAACTAATTATAATTGCACACGCATGCACATATATAGAGTAGTCAAGAAATTTTTGGCTCAATTAATTTCTCCAGGATCGACTCGAGATAATTTGAGATTTAAAGAG